TTTGGAAAACTGAGAAAATTGAACGTATGTTTACCATCCACCCAGCAAGAACCTGACCCAGCAATTGCATTCCTCAGTATTTATCCTAGAGAAATGGAAGGTTATGTTCATACAAAACTACGTGCAAGTATTCACAGCAGTTACTGAAAGCAGTTACCAGAAACTAGAAAAAACCCAGTTGTTCTTCAGAGTATAAATGATGGAATTAAATGTGGTATATATGCTGTGTATTACTCAGAAATGAAAAGGAATTTGAACTACTGAAACAGGAGCCATTTGGATGAATCCAAATTATGCTGAATGTTTAAAAAGCCAATCTCAAAGTTTATACAATTCCATCTATATTACATTCTAAAAATAACAAAATTATATAGATATGGAATATACTAATGGTTTCCAGAGGTTAAAGAAGGGGGAGTTGGTTTTGACTAAGGGATAACACAAGGGAGTTCCCTGATGGTGACTGAACTGCTCTGTATCTTGATGCAGTGTAGATATATGAATCTATACAAGTGATTTAATTTCATAGATATACAAACAAAGCATACAGAAAAAGAAAAAAAAACACCAACAACAAATAAACTTATACAAAACCTGGCAAAATCTGAATAAGATTTATAGTCTAATTAATTATAGTATTCTGCTATTGTCAGTTTCAGTAACTCTCTATAATTAAGATGTTACCTTGGGGGAAGTTTGGTCATGGTTTTATAGATTTTATCTATACTGTTGTTTTTCATATTAATAAAAGCTTTATTGATGTAATTCATTTGCCATAAAATTCACCTTTAAAGTATATACTTCAGTGATTATTAGTATATTCAGAGTTGTGCAATTATTGCTATAATTTTTATCATCCTTCTCCCCCAATCCTATGCCTATTAATAGTTACTCCCTATCTGACCTTAGTCCCAGGCAATGACTAATTTACAAAGTGTTTAGACTACTGAATTGTATAAAGTATTATATAAGTATTGCTAAGTAAATAAATCACATAATAATAAACCATCTTACCTTCCATGAAGATTATAAACTTTACTGTTAATGACTATCTCCCATGTTGTATGAGTTCTGACAACACCTAATGTTAACCTGTACATATTAAATATTTGGTAACTATCAGAATAACTTTTTCAGAGGGAGTGAAATGGAACCCTAGACTATCTAGAAGTCTGGAATTTATGTTGAGAAAAATTAGGAAAGATAAGTTTAATGATCGGATGAAAGAAATGCTTATTCATGAATTTGAAGAAAGCAGTTTTATCTTTTCATTTTTTCAATTAATAAGAAATTGTGAATCATTTTTGGGGAAAATACTATTTGAAGTTAAATATTTATAACATAAACATAACTGCCTATTCTGTTATCTGCTTTGTGTCTGAGATGTCTATCTATGTTGCCTCTTGGAGGGGAAGTAGAAGAGAGAAAATAGAGCCTCTGACATAAATTCAGTGAGTTCTATATAGATTTTCCATAGATGTAACATTTGAGTTCAGTGCTAGTATACAAAAATACACATGTACCCTCCCTCTGACCCTCAGTGTATGACTTTAGTAGAAAAGTTAAGATAAAGGTTAAACTGAATAATGACAATAAATCTTGCTTTCTTGACATTTGGAGTGGTTTAAATATGTAATACTGAATTTCCTAAATAATAATCTGTTGTGTTTTGGTATCACTGATACTAGGCTAACATATAGCTAATACTTGCTGTGCAAAAGGATTTTTATAATGTCCTGTAGGATCTGTGCTACAGTGAATTGTTGCAAGATGGGATTAAATGCATCTGAACTTAAAACCTGAGAAAATGTTGATAATCAATTAAGTTAATGTAAACCCATTCGCATTTTATGTAAATTTTCCCACATCAAATTTATAATAGATCATTTTTAGTTCCCTGGCTCATTGTTATGTGATTTTTGTAAATCATTTTTTGTAAATAAATTTATCTTTAGAGAGTGAGTGGTACCAGGGGAAAAAACTTCATACTGACTCTGTTCTGCATCTCTCAGTGAAAAACTTTGAAAAAGAGTGATTCTTAACAGTTGATGACTCTTTTTAAAAAGTCTATCTAGAAGGAGAACCTAAAAAGCTAATTGGATGGAAAGAATGTAGCCGTCTGTAAGCAAAGGGCTAAAATTAATGCGAGAGATCAGGAATTTGGGGGATCAATTTGGGGACAAAAAATGAATATAAATAGTAAATTTTTTTACATGATGAAAGTATTCTACAATTAGATCATGGTAATAGTTGCATAACCTATGAATAAACTGAAAGCCACTGAAGTATATACTTTAAGGGGGCAAAGTTTATGGGATGTGAATCATATCTCAATTTAGAAAAAAAACAAAATGAACTGGATTGCAAGGGGTGTGGTGACTGAGGCCTCTGTGGCCTGGAGTAGAATCCCAACCAGGATGAGAATTTCTGGAGGCATGTGCGGTTTGGCAGTGGGCAGCAGTGAAATATGTTACACATAGGGCGAACAGATTAAGTTTCTCACTTTTGTACAAGAAAATTACAACTTTGGGTGAAAAAAAAAAAAACTTCTAGAATTAACCCCCTGGTATTGAATTGGAATTAGAGGGGTGTGTGTGTGTGTGTGTGTGTGTGTGTGTTTACAAATCAAAATGGATATAATACATGTGTATGTATACATACATTTGCACACATAAGGGTATACAAATACTGCCTAACAGTCCAGTGAGGACTGGAGGAAATGATATCTCAATAAAAATGAGCATACCTAGTACACAGCTCTTGATATTCTGAATACCTTTCTCCCTAAGGAGAACCAGAGATTCTTAAAAAAATGACTTTTTCCGTGGCTGAGGCAGGGAAGGTACAAGGTAAGCCTCTGAAGCATCTTATGCCAGAAACAAAGAAATGATCAGAAAATGATAAGAATATTTTAAATGGTAACAGAAGCCAAGTTAAAGAGGCTTACCCTATCCAAATGTAGAAAAAAATTGAGCTTACTATATAAATACTGATAGTAACAGATTATAACCCAGTGAATAAAATAGAAACTCATGAGTTTATTCTGATGTAGATAGATAAACAAGGTGGTAATAATAATAATAATAATAATAATAATATATTTTGCTGGCACAGCGGCAAACACTTGTAACAGCAGTCACTTGGCTTGGGAGGCCAAGGTAAGATCCCAAGTTCAAGGCCAGCCTCAGCAATTTAGGGGAGTGGGGGAAGGCTTGCAATATGGCTCAGTGGGAGAGTGCCCCAGGGTTCAATTCCCATTACTGCAAAACATAATAATAAGGAGAAGAGGAATCACTATTTGGCAAGCCAAGAAACACCAATGGATGCTAAAAATACTGAGCAAACTTTGTTGAGGAGGAATTCTGACAGCTTTTTTTTATTGTTTTGGTACTGGAGTTTGAACCAAGGGCACTCTACCATTGAGCTACATCCCCAGCTTTTTAGTTTGAGACAGTTGCCCAGGATGGCCTCAAACTTTAGATCTTTCTTCCTCAGCCTCCTGAGTAATTGGGATTACAGGCATGAGCCACCACACCCAGACAGAAGATACTTTTGTACAAGCTTTCATGTTATCATTATTCACAATACGTAAAAGCTAGAAATAGTTTTAGGTGTTCAAAAAAATGAATAGATAAACTAAATGTGGAATGTACTACATACAATGGATTATTATTTAGCCTTAAAAGGAATTAAATTCTGATGTACATTATAAAATGATGAACTTTGAAAGCATTATGCTAAGTAAGATAAGCCAGACACCAAAGACAAATATTGTATGATGATTCCACTTACTTAGGAAATGCAAATTTGTGGAGGTAGAAAGTAAAATGGCAATCACTAGGAGCTGGTGAAAGAAGGAAATGGAAAGTTATTTTTTAATAGGTAGAGTTTCTTTTGGGTATGATGAGTAATTTTGAAAATGGATAGTGGCAATATTTGTACAATATTGTGAAAGTACTTAATGTCAATAGATTGTAACAAAAATGTTAAAAGGGCAAATTTTATTATGTATATTTCACCATAAAATATGTTGAGGAATTGGACACCCATTTACATAATTTCTCTCACCCCTGCCCGAGCCCCCAGCAAACTACTTATTTATTACAAAGGGAAAAATAATGTGAATGGAAAAATCTGGCAGACACAGTCATAGCCAAGTGATCAAAATTAACACAGCAGCACGTTTATGAGAATTCTATCAAGAATGCTTAATTGGAATAAAATCAGGAGGTGAATTTTAATTGAAAATTATTGTGCAAAATAACTGGCCTATAATCCTCAAAAGTGTCAAGGTTATGAAAGTTAAGAATAAAGAACTGCTCCGGATTAAAAGAGGTTAAAGAGAATTGATAACTAAATAAATTATATAAGCCCAAATTGGATCCTTCTACAATAAAGGACATTACTAAGTAAGTAATGTCAAACTTAGATGGGGTCTACTGATGAAGTCATAATAATGTGAAATATTATTTTTCTGATTTCTGTGCTAGTATTTTAGGTTATAAAAGAATGTCCTTGTTTATGGGAAATATATACCATTGGGAGGTGATAGGACATCATGTCTGTAACTTCCACATGGCTAAGAAAAATATGTACTTTGTAGTAATCTTAAAACTTAAAAGCTTGAAGTTATTTCATGGTAAAAAAAAAGATAAAAGAATCTGACCAAAGTAGTGATTGTGCCTGGGAACTAGATCCCAAGACTTGGACCATATTGAAATGCTAACTGTCAAAGAAATGGAAATTTTTTATATTAAGGAAGTTACAAAAACATTTTTTCAAATCCAAGTGTTTCTAATAGATAAATTGAGGATAATCTAAGTAGATTATAGATAAATTATAATCTTTAAAAGTGGAAAGCAGTTTATAAGTTGGAACCTCATAATTTAGGATTTAGAATGTGAAACTAAAGAAAGTGATTGAACTAAATGTACAAATAGTTGCAGAACTAGACCATGTCATTTTGAAAGATTCACAATTTCAATACTTTTTCATTATAGGTGATGCTGAACAGGAACTTGGTCCCCCTCCATCTGTAGATGAGGCAGCAAACACACTCATGACTCGTCTAGGTTTCCTTCTTGGAGAGAAAGTCACAGAAGTTCAGTCAGGTGACCAATACAGCATGGAGGTACAGGATGAAAGTCAGGTAAGCTGCTTGCTATTAACTGTGAAACATGGTGTAACTCAATTTATTACACAAGAAAAAAAATGGTATGTGTGTGTTTGTTTGTTTTGAGAGGAATAATCCCAATTGTTGAATGTCTTTTGAGACCTGTAATATAACTTAATTTTCAGTTTATGAGACATCTTTAGTTTCATTCTCAGGTTTAAAACCCCAAAAAAGACACTTTCAGATTTTGATTCATGTATTGAATGAATGAATAAATAAACAAACCAATAAGCAATCCAGCCAACAGAATTAACCTCTAAATACTGAACCTGGAAATTATAGAATATACAAGTACACATGGATTATTTACCAAATGGATAGTATACTGAGTCATAGAGCAATTCTTGACAAATATAAAAAGATTTCAGTTCAGAACACAGTAGAACTAATTATAGAATGATAACTTATGAAATGATAGCTAAAAGAAAACATGGACAATCTCCAAATGCTTAGATGTTAATTAATATCCTTCTAAATAGCCTTTGAGTCAAAAAAATTAGAACATTTTAAAATATTTGCTCAAAAATAAATATTGGTTTTGAATACATCTATTACAGCAGTAGAAAACCTAAAAATTAGTGGTCTAAATATTCGTCTTAGTTTTAAAACATCAGCAATTAAAAAATTATTTCATATTTTTTTCTTTTGGATATTTCCATTGTTTTCATTTTAAATATAGCAAAGAAAGTACTTGAGCACTCTACCACTGAACTATAACCCCAGCACCCTGGTATCTTTTTTTTAAAATCAATTTATATAGTAACCATGTTAGTATGAGATGCTTTCTAGGGAAAAAATTGGAATGATATATGTTGAGGGTTTTAAAGTATTGGCATAAATAAAACATCTATTTTACTTTCCATTTCTTGATATTAATATTAAAATGTGACATATTCTAATAATGACCAAGTAACATGAAGTAAGTCTTATATCAGATAGCCTGGGTCTTTGCCAAGGACTCTCTTCTTTCTATAAAACTATATATCTTCTGGTAATAAAATTTATGCTTATTGCTTTTGAGATTCTTTATGTCATAGTATGTCACAGTGATTCTGAATAAAGCCACAAGTCTATGGAGTGTGCCTTACTTGTAGATTTACTGAATGGAATAATCTTAAAATAAATGAAAATAGTACCATTGATTTAATATAATCAAGGCAATATGGTATAACAAAAAAGCCATTGAAACCGGAGTAGAAAATTGTTCTAATACTAACAGTATCACCAACCATCTTATAAATTTGGACATGTCTCTTAACCTCTCTGGGCTTGAGATTTTTTATAGATAATAATAACTGAAATTTATTAAATTCTTACTCTGTACCAATCATATTAATCACTTTACTTGCGCTATTCTGTTTAAGTTTCCTTACAGTCTAATGTGGTAGGATCCATTCAAATTTCAGTTTTTAGATAAGAAAGTGGAAACACTCTGCCATAAAGTGATATAAGGATGTTCATAACCAGGCATTATGCTTTTACCACCTGTGTTATTTATAGCAACACCAGACTGTTCCAGCATAACATGAAATCACAAAACCTGACAGGACAATTGTGAGAATCAGGTTAAATCATAAACACAAAAATATTTTGTAAGCTATAAAATGCCATTTGGAAACAGTATAAAATATATGTAATACAATTAGCATATAAATATATGCAAAACTATAATTTATAGGAGGACACTTCATTGTTTTCATGTTTTTGATGATTTTCATTTGCTCATTTCTTGAATGCAGGAAATAATATTCATTGTACCTATCATAACAGGTTGATAAGGAATAAAAGAAATAATATATAAAAGTATTTTTAAATTTCTAAGCATTATGTAAATGTAAATGTTAATAATAAAACTAAATGATAATTTCTTAGAATATAATATACCCTGAAACTGACTTGGAACCACAAAAGAGAGCCGCTAAATTGATCACAGAAATTTCTATTCTTAGCAAGATTATTAAGAACTAGGAGGTCATGTTTACTTGGTGGCTTTCTTCTGAGCAAAATAGCATACTAACAAAATAGACTGCCGTATTTAGAAAGATCCTGTATTGATGATGTCTACAGAATAACACTAGTGATGACTGTTACACAAGTAAGTTAGCATATATCATGTTTCTGCAAACAAAAAAAAAATGTATTGAATGTGATATTTGACTGACCACTTTATTTTCTTCTCTTAGCAGTTTCTTTTTATTATTATAATTATTGAGTCCTATTAGTTGTACAAATTAATGGGTTTCACTGTGACATTACCATATATGTATATACATCCTTTGATCATATCCACCCTCTCTACTCTTTGCTCTATTCCTTTCCCTTTTCCCTGCCTCCAGTCCTTTATCCTTCCCTAATGATCCCTCTTCTTTTTCAAGCTCTTATTTATTTCCACATATGTGATACTTCACTTTCTGTATGAAGCTAATTTCATTAACATGATAACCTGTAGTTTTATTCATTTTCCTGTAGATGACATAATTTCATTCTTCATGGCTAAATAAAACTCCATTGTATATATGCCCCCTTTTTAAAATTCATTCATCTGATGATGGACACCTAGGCTGATTTCACATCTTGGCTATTGTGATATTGCAATAAATGGGTATACAGTTATCTGTTGTATATGCTGATTTCATTTCCTTCAAGTTTATACCCAGGAGTCTGGGTATAATAGCTGGATCACATGAGTAGAACTATTTTTAGTTATTGGAGGAACCTCCCTACTGTTTTCCGTAGTATCTAATGTATGAATTTACATTCTCACCAACAGAGTATAAGGTTTCCTCATTCTCCATTTCCTTATCAGCATTTGTTATTTTTTGTTTTAGGTTTTTTGTTTTGTTTTGTTTTGTTTTTTAAATAACCATTCTGAGCTGGGTAAGATGGAATCTCTGGATGGACCCAGGAATTCCATCTTAGGTTCTTAGCTTGTGTTTTTGTAGAAACTCTAAGAAATCCCAACTGGGAGTTTTCATTTGATCCCTCTGAAGTATGTTAAGGACAATAAGAAACCACTGAAAGATTGTAGAAGTAGAAAGTAACTTAATTAGATGTTCACTTTAGCCTATAGCATGGAGAACTGATAATGTTGTCTTTCTATATCTCATTAACTAGCCTTAAATAAATGAGGCCTTCTTTTTAATTCATAAGACATGAACATATCTTCTGTTTTACAAACAGCTTGATCTTTAAGGTTTGCTTTTACTGGTAAAGCTTTTAAAATATATAGTCTATGATACAATAACTTGTAGTAAAAATAGTTTGGGTTTAACCTCCGTAGTATCTGATGTATGAATTGGCAATGTTATGTGTATAATGCAGTTTCCTTTCACAAAGAACAGAGAATCTTGTCTAAGAACAAAAATAGGTAGAGTACATGTCTTTATAAAAAGTAATAGAAGGCTGGGGATATAGCTCAGTTGGTAGAGTACTTGCCTCACATGCACAAGGCCCTGGGTTCAATTCCCAGCACCACAAAAAGAAAGAAAATAAATAAAATAAAGACATTCTATTTTTTAAAAATTCCAAAAAAGTAATAGATTCATACCAAAATAAAACCTTTTCAATATGGAATGATTATAGATATATCTAATGTAAAAGATTAGAACACAGTTAATTTTATCAACACATTTTTGTTTTTTGTTTGTTTGTTTGGACTGAACCCAGGGGGCTTTACCACTGAGCCAAGTCCCCAGCCCTTTTTTAATTTTATTTTGAGACAGAGTCTTGCTAAGTTGCTGAGCCTGGCCTGGAACTTGGTATCCTTCTGCCTCAGCTTCCCCAATCACTGGAATTATAGGCATGCACCATCACGCCCAGCCCATGTATATCTTAAACTGGGTGTGGAAAGGTTAGAAATTGCCCAATGAATTTCTGATTGGAGGATTCTAATTCAGTAAGACTGGGATGGGGATCAGTATCTGTCAGTTTTATTAGAGCTTATGCATTTGTTTTTTGCATCCCACATTTGTTTTTTGCATGCCTAGTTAAAAATCTTGCTCTAGTAGACCAACCCCCTTTTATATGAATAGAGGAGATAAGAAAGAAATTGAAATTCCTCTGTCCTCTGGAAAGAGATTATATAGTAGAGGAAATGTGCATATATTAAGCACTTATGTTATTAAGAAAACTCAGCTCTTAATGTTATTGATATGATTCAAAGGTTTTATGTAGTTGTAGGATAATGAGAATGTCATTTGTGCTTAGTTGAGTCAAATGTATCTTTTATGACCTGGTGGTAGTATTTAAATGAAAATCAAAACCTGGATAATTAAATACAAGGGATTGCATATGGACATTATCATTGAAAAGCCTATAATATTCTTATAGCTAATAAGCAACATGTTCTTCAATTAAATCATTAAATGTAAATCCTCAGTTTTAGCAAAGAATATGAATACAGACTGTGTGAAGAATTTGAAAGACTTCTTTTAAATTAATATATAAGCATGTTTACTTTAGCATTAGTGCTTCTTCAAGTAACTTCGTCACTGAAACTTACCATTTTGAAAAGAATCAAATTTATTTTTCATAAAAATATATTTTCATTTACAATTTCAGTACTTTATTTGGGTAGAAGGAACTGAAGAAAAGTGAATTGTTATTAAATTATGAAGACCTGAATATATTATCATCATTCTTTTTGTTAATTGCCCATTCCTTCATCAAAAAGGAGGTAATTTCAGGTTTAAAAATTATTAATTAAGGACACAAACTGATCTCTGCAGTCCATTTCTACAGATAGTTAGTTTTGTATTAAATCAACATTGTTTGACATATTTTATAAGATATACTTTTAGAATAAGGCATTTTTCCTTGTGCTCAATTACTGTTTCATGTGGCTGCCTATATATCAAAAGACATAAATTCGCATTAAAAACTTTATTTTTATTTCTCCTCGCCTTCAGAGGTATTCTTTCTTTTTCTTTACAAAGAAAATTATTAACAAAGTTCTAAGCCTTCTGAAAGTTTTATTGTTTATAAATAGCAAGGAAAACTTGTACATAATAAGAAATTTCTATATTCTGATACTGAATATTTACTTATCACTGTTATTTCCTAAGCAGGAAAAATGGGCCACAAGTCTCTGCTCATGTTAAATTCATGAAGATTCACCTTAATTATAGAAACTGTAGTTTCTTTGCTGGAAAGCAAAGGCAAAGCCTGATGGATGTAAAAGCCATGTGTAGATTCTTTATTCTTTTCTCATTAAGGTATTATTTTTTCCAAAATGTACTTAACTAGTCAGTTTATCTTTACTTCTTGATTTTAATTTTTCAGACCTCAGCAATCACCCAGCGGATAAGTCCCTGTTCCACACTGACAAGCAGCACTGCCTCTCCACCAGCCAGTAGCCCCTGCTCTACCCTCCCACCAATCAGTACAAATGCTACTGCTAAGGATTGTAGCTATGGGGCTGTTACTAGTCCAACCTCCACCCTTGAAAGCAGAGATAGCGGCATCATTGGTGAGTTTATTTTTGTAATAATCTTTTTTTATTATTATTAGTTGTTCAAAACATTACATAGTTCTTGACATATCATATTTTGTAATAATCTTTTTGTGTCTTTGCTTTTTTCTTTTTAAATATACAAACTTAATATTTTAAAAAATCTACTTTTGATATTATAGACAGATTGTTAGATGTTGTCTGTCTTTTTATTGATGCTGAAGAGAGAAATAAAGGTAAACAAAATGCAATTTATATCTCCTTGATTTACTTATCAAGCTATTACTTGATAAGAAGTAGATAGAAAAAGTTCTGTACACGTATTTCTGTAAATTCCCAAACATCATCTGTCAACAAAAGTGGTTCAGAAAAAGTTTATTCTTCACTGGAATAGTACTGAGTTTTGTGAAAACTGAAAGAAAAGATTAAGATTAAATGGCTAAAGAACTGAAACTGGAGTTGTTTGTGCAACTGGAGTTGTTTGTGAAACTGGAATCTGTGCAAACCACATATCAGTCCTTGGATAAGTTTAGGAGCCCCTTCAGGCTTCTTGTCAGCAAAAACATCCCCACTTTTCTTTTCACCCTCTAAAAGGGGGAAAAATGTTGTTTCTTTGCTTATGATTCAGGAATCTTATATTAATACATTCTTATGACAAGCTTTGGCACAAAGAAAACTTGAAATTTGGGGAAGTAACCAAGCTAAGAAAACTGCCATTTCGTATTTCTCTTTTGAATTTTCTAATATAATTTTTAAATAGAATATCCTAGTAAATTACATGGTTCTAGGACTACATCTAAATTGTCTTCAACTTACTAATTAGCAGTTTGCAGCAGATACAAAAAAAAAAAAAACACTCTGGGAGGTTATCCATGAGTGAGATTAACTTCAAATTTTCTTTTCTTTTTCTACCATTGTTAGGTTTTAGTATCAAGAATTAGGCTAGCCTCGGGCTGGGGCTGTAACTCAGTGGCAAAGTGCTTCCCTGGCACAAGTGAAGTACTGGGTTCCTCAGCACCACATAAAAAAATAAATAAAATAAAGGCATGCTGTCCATCTACAACTACAAAAAAAAATTTTTTTAAAGAATTAAGTTAGCTTCATAACATTGGTTGAGCCCATCCAAATATAAATATTGTTCAAGATCCACCCTTAATATCTCTATTCTTTTCTTTCTTAATTGTTTCCATCCTTTTTTTTTTCACTACCAAAGCAATGCTCTCTCTTCCATGATGCCCATTTCATTTCTCCAACTCCAACTTTTTTTGTTGTGTTTTGTTTGTTTGTTTGTTTGTTTGTTTTTGATACTGGGGATTGAACTCAGGGACACCTGACCACTGAGTTACATCCCCAGCCCTCTTTTGTATTTTATTTAGAGACAGGGTCTCACTGAGTTGCTTAGCACCTTACTTTTGCTGAGGCTGGCTTTGAACTTGAGATCCTCCTGCCTCAGCCTCTCGAGCTGCTGGTCCAAATTTGATTTTTGATTCTACAGTCACACTTTTTATCACCATTCTTTTCACCACGGACAGAGGTTCAAGAATAATCATGAAGCACTCCAGTTATCTCTGCCTTCTCTGGAAATCTAAACAGACTGCTTCCTCTAGTCTTATAAGACCTTCTGTCAATAACTAACATTGTTACTTGCAGTTATATATTATTTTTCTTTATAGTAGAACACATTTTTCTAAATGGCAGAACTCACGTCTTATACTTTTTATTTACCCTCCAGATTTATCCTAATAATTTCTAATTTATGACTCATTTGTATGAGAAGTCATTAGAGATAATCATTAGATAACTAAATATTTTTGACTAAGTAATATAGAGAAATAAAAACTGATAAAGAGTACCTTTATATTAATACATTCCTCTGAAGTGGATTGTGAGATATTGGGATTACTTGTTCTTTGAATATTATTAGGATTCGTTATTAAAATAATCGAGACTCAATGTTGTCTTCATGCAATGAATGCAAATGTCTTAATTATTTTAAACTACTATTTCCTTATATTTAGTACTATAAAACTATTTAAATTTTCTTTTTTTTCTCACATCAGTTTTTCTTATAGTTTTTATCTTTTTTCAAGTTTATTGGCATAAAGTTGCCTAAAATTTTATTTAATAATGATATCATCTCTACCCAGGTACACAAACTAGGGAGCTCAGAATAATCCTTATCATCTCCCTCTCCCTGTATTTCTCATTACTGTGTTTTATTTTGTTTCTTCCTAGCATTGCTTTGGTGGTCCTCACTATCTCAGACTTGGATTAGTACTAATTTCATTGTTCTCTTTTCTTTTCATCTTGCCTTCCTAAATCTGTTTTTCAAACAGCCATCAAAATAAATGAATTGAAAATCAATTACTTCTTTAACTCTGAGCTACCTATAAGATGAAGGGAACTACTTGAAAATTAAATCTGACCACATCACTTCTCTGACTCCCATTTACATATTAGATAAAGCCTAGGCCTTCATGATCTGGTGATGGCCAGTTTCTCCAGTCTTCTCTCCCACTTCTTCCAAGAACCTTATACTTATTATTCTAGCAATGCTAGAATTCGCTATTGCCTGACACGTTCTAGTTTTTTCATTTCTATGTTTTTGCTCATGTTGATTATTCTTCAAATATTTCCTTTTAAGTTTGACTTATTTCTTAAAAATCTTTTAAGATTCAGCTTAAGAAATATTGTCACCAATACTACCACCATCTCTCTTCAGCTTTGCACTCATGCTTCTATCCATTGCATAGCATTACTTCATTACTGCATATGCACATTACTGGGCATATCTGTATCACTGCATTTAATACATGGTATTATAATTATTTTTTGAGCCTGCTTTCCCCCATTAGACATATTAGTTCCTTTTTAACAAATACTGAGACTTAATCATCTTTACATCAGTGGCACTTAGCCCAGTAACTGGCACTGGCACATTGTAGCAGAGTAGTTGCTTAGTAATATCTGATAGGATATTATAAGGAATATGGTGTCTAACTCGGCAAAAATATAAGACCATTAAGATAATAAAATTATGCCAATAAAAATCATAAATAGACCCACACAGGAATCCAGGCCTAAGTCAGACTGGCAGACCCACACCCAAGCCCAGGCCCAGGCCTAGGATCGCTCCTGTCAATCCAGGTAGGAGCCCTGGCCCAGGCCCAGAACCACCCAGCAGACCCATGCAGAATCCCAGGCCTAGGTCAGGCCCAGAACCATCCCCCGGCAACCCACCTGGAAGCCCAGGCCTTTGTAAGGCTCAGGACTGCACCTTCCCCGCAACCCACACCAGAGCCCAGGCCCAGATCAGGTTCAGGACTGCCCCTGCTCACCTGTGTGAGAACTCAGGCCCAGGACTGCTCCTGTGCAGAATGGAGGACCATGCCGGAACTCCCCATTTACCAACGCATTGCTCCCCCAACCAGTCTCCATCTTGGGACACTGCAGCCACCATCATAGCCCTTCCCATGTAGTAGCCTCCATCTTGGGACAACAGGCAGGGCCTGGAGGCAGCTGCATCTCTGAACAGGCAGCCTAAAGCCCCATCTCTGAAAGTGGTTGCATCCATCTTGGGAGATTCCCACTGCTATCTTGAGTTACCTCTGCTATTGCCACCATCATTTTAGTTATAGTGTCATCCATGTTGGGACACTGGCCAGGGACTGGAAGCCCAACACCAAGGTGAGGTACAGGAAATCTGTAAGGACACTACAAGATTAAAAGGTAGAATCTGCAATACCTCAGATCTACACTGCAAGAAAGGAAGACACATAGACAACATGAAAAAACAAGGGAAGAAAGTACCCCAAACAATCCAAGATACTACAATAATAGAATCCATTGACAACACAGTTGATGAAATGTTCAGAATGTACATAATTAAAATGATCTGCAAATTAAAGCATGACATAAGAGAACAAATGCAGGCCAAAAATTGATCACCCTAACAAAGAGATAAGAGAACAAATATAGGCAACCACTGATCACACCAACAAAGACATAAGGGAGCAAATACAGGTAGCAAAAGATTACTTTGAGAAAGAGAGAGATTCTTGGGGAAAAAAAAAACAATCAGAAATCCTTCAAATGAAGGAAACAATAAATATAAAACTCAATAGAAAGCATCACCAACAGACTAGATCACTTGGAAGGATACAATGTCATATAATGAAGACAAAATATACAGGCTTGAAAATAAAGTTGACCACACAGTGAAGATGGTAAGAAACCATGAACAGAACATCCAAGAATTATGGGATAGGATCATAAGAACAACTCGGAGATTTATTGAGATAGAGGAAGGCATAGAGATTCAAACCAAAGGAATGCACAATCTATTCAATGAAATAATATCAGAAAATTTCCCAAACATGAAAAATAAAATGGAAAATCAAATACAAGAGGCTTATAGGACACCAAGTGTACAAAATTACAACAGATCTATACCAAGGCACATTATAATGAAAATGCCTAGCATACAGAATAAGGATAGAATCTTAAAGGCTTCAGACCAATTCGGATCTCAGATTTTTTCAACCCAGACCCTCAAAACCAGGAGATCCTGGAACAACATATACCAAGCTCTGAAAGAAAATGGTTACCAACCAATAATATTATTCCAGCAAAATTAAGCTTCAGATTTAATGATGAAATAAAAACCTTTCATGATAACCAAAATTTAAAACGTATTACAGCAAGAAAGCCTGCACTGCAGAGCATTCTCAGTAAAATAGCCCAGGAGGAGGAAATGAAAAGTAACATGAAAATCAGCTAAGGGAGGAACTACACCAAAGGAAAAACCCAATCAAGGAGAAACCAAAAATAAACCAAAATATCTGGGAATACAAATCATATTTCAATAATAACCCTAAATGTGAATGGCCTATCTTATCAATTAAAAGACATAAACTGACAGATTAGGTTGAAGAAAACCAATAATATGCTGCCTTCAAGAGACTCATTTCACAGGAAAAGACATCTACAGTATGAAGGTGAAAGGGTGGGGAAAAAAT